ATCATCGTTCTCACCACCAGGGAACTGCGCCTGCACAGCTTCGAGACGGGGACGTGCGGCTTCGCCGTGCCGCTGTGGCCGGACCGAAGCCCCAACTCGTGCCCGGTGAACTCAACCTCGTCCCCGCTCGCCGCGAGCGTTCCTTTGCCCGCGGCAAAGTTCCAGCAGCTGAACCTTGGCGACTCTGCCGCCGCCGCCGCCGCCGCCTCCGACTCCTCCACGGCGTCCACCACGCGTTTCGTTGCGCCACTCGACATTGACTACAGTAAAAAGTGTGTCGCATTCCGCAGCTCCATGGTTGGATTCAGTCTGGTCCGCTATGATGCGGAGTCGTCCTTTTCGAATAGGGTGAATGCGGAGTGGCTGGCAACGGTGCCGGTGGCCCACGAACACGCACTCGCCTCGCTGGCGATGGATCTCAACGGCGACCTGAGAAGCGGCGGCGGCAGCAGCAGCGGCAGCAGCAGCGCCGTGTCGGGAGCGCTTCGGTGGCACATTGCAACCTGCAGTGAACGTGCGACCATTATCCGTGTTTGGCGCTACTGCGAAAGGGGCGCGGCATCCCCCACTGTGGCGGATCCGGCCGCGTCCGCCCCGTCGCCCTCTGCCGAGGCGGAGTCCAAGAGCGGCATGGATGATTCTGGTGACGGCAGGAAACTTCCCGGCTATTTTGTGAAAATTCGGGAAGTCCGGAATGCGTCGCTGCCAACGCCCATCTTTCAAATGCGTTTTCTTGGGGAGGCCTTCCTCTTCTGCATAGCGTGGAACACCCTGAAGGTTTTCTTTGTGGGCGAGCAGGAGCAACCCCGGCCGTACGACGTTAGCACGAAGGACCCAAGCAAGGTCGGTCGGGCGAAAAACTCCCACTCGACGCTGCACCGCCTCGGCTTGGTTTCCGCGTACTTCAACTCCGAGTGGGCCGCCTGCGAGTCTCCACTGCCGCTGGCGGACGACGCCTTCCTCCCCAGGTGGGTGGAAACGACATCGGGGGAGCTGCGGCAGCATCTGCTGCGTGGCACCGGCTCCAGCTGCCGTGTCGCAGACGGCGACGCCGCGGGGCCCCGCGGCCGTGCCGAGCTGGAGAGCTCCGCCTCTCACTCCTCGCTCAACGGCACACGGCGCTCTCAACTGACGCCGAAAATCGCCCCGGCGCGTGCAGCCCCGTCGCTGAGCAAGTCGCAGGAGTATAGTGGCATATTACGCCGGTACGTCTCACAGGTGGCACCGATCGTCGGGGGTGCGGGTCGGGCTGCACGGCTGTACTGGGGATATACTGGCGAGAGCAATGAGGGGGCGGCGAGTCGCGTGAACGAGGTGAGCCGTGCTTCTTCACAAAGGCGCGACTACGCCACGATGACCGAGGTCGCGCAGTCGCTTGTGGTGTGGTGGGAGCAGCCTGCCTACTTGCAGGTGGAATACATGACGAAGGCCCTGCTGCGTGCCCACACCGCCGCCAGCGAGGTGCTTCCGAGTCGCTTCAAGTGTTCTCACCCGACCGAGTTGTACTGCGTGACGTGCGACGGGAGCGCCGTCAGCTTCGAATTTGACCCCGTCACCGGCACAATTGAGTGCAGCAGAGCCATCGCCGTTTCCCCAAGTGAGGAATGCATGTAGATATTGGCAGTAATGCGTGTGGCAAGGGAGCTGGACAATTGGGGGAGGGGAAGTATTAAAACCAAAAGAAACAAAAAAAAAGTTGCTTTCCCCCTTTGGACTAAGGCGTGCTGGCTGTTATTGCTGCTGAGGCTTCTTTGCGGCGCTATACTGCTTTATCTACTTTCCGTTGATATATATATATATATATATTATGTCTTTGCTCTTGATGTTATCGGTCGATGTGTATACTGGGTTTGGACCGCCCACAAAGTACTGGAACTAGCGTGCCGAGGTAGACATATATGCATATATTTATATTTATAGTTATGATGTCTGTGAATGCTTGCGCCACATACAACAGTGCATCCGCACATAAATATATGTTTTGCGCATATGGTTGTGTACGTAAGTTTGCTGCACTCAGTGTGGTGGAGCGTATGACGCGGTACGGGAGGTAGTGGGGAGGGGGGGTGCGTGGGAGAAGGCGACGGAACCTGGCAAACAACAATAGCAAAAACATCTTTGTGTAATAAACGGCGCGTTGAGATGGGATGTTTTTTGTTTTCCCTTGGTTCTGGTCCCACGTTGTGCGTGGAGTGATAGAGGCTAAGAGGTTTGGTGGTGCCGAGGGTGGTTTTGTTTTGTTTTGTTCTTGGCGACTGCGATGACCGCTTTTATTGTCGAGGAGTTGTTTTTTGCTTGCTTTTTTTTTCCTTTGGCCTTCTTTGCCCCCACGCTCTTCTTGGCATTGCCAAAGGGGAAAGTGGCGGCGGCGGTGGTGCTGGACGCATAAGGCGCAGCACGGAGGGGTATACGCATGCAGGGAGGAGGCAAGATACGAGGGAAGGGGAGAGCGCGGGTTGTACTCAGCGGGGGATGCCGCTTTATTTACTTTTTTTTGTTTTGATTCGCCCTGTGGCGACTGCGTGCCGTTGTTCCCCTGCCGAGTCAAAAAAAAAAAAGAGAGACAAACGCAACCGAAAAGGGGAAAAATAGTGTGATGTGTGCGTGTGTGTGTCTTTGTGAGTGCTTGTTGTGCGCAGGTGTGAAGTAAAAACACCGTGTGTGTCGTGCCGCCGCTGCTGATGTTTTGGTGGTGGCGGTGGTGTTTTTGTTTTCCTCTTCTTTGTGTGTGTGTGTGTGTGTGTGAGTTTCTTTTCAAGTCTGAGGCAACGGGAAGGGAATTGCCTCGTTGTTTCTCTGCGTGTTGAGTTTTGTCTCGGTGTTGGTGTTGCTTCGCCGCTCCCCCGCATCGTCTTTGTTTGTTTGTTGTTTCTTTTTCTTTCATGTTATTCGTCTTTCTTTCTGTTGTTGTTGGGTTTTCGTCTTGTCCCGTGGGCCACGACTCACCCGCGTCTTCTGTCCGCCCATTCGTCACCGCCTGCTTTTCCCGCCTTCTGCTTCTTCTTTGCGTGTGTGTGTGGGTGTGGGGAGAGAGGAGAGAAGAGAAGAGGAGGAGGTGGGGGGGGGAGCAGGCAGGATGTCGCACGCTGCTGGGGAGCCGCGACCCGCAACTGTCGCCGAGGCCTTCGCGAACACCGCGAGAGCCCTGGATCAGTTTAGCATTGAGCGGATACGTGTGGAGGGGCTCAGCCGCAGTTCCCGCAGCGGCACGCGGGGCGAGCGTGAGGCGGAGCAGGAGGAGGTTCGCACGCTCACGGAGCAGGCGTTCATGCGGGAGTTCGTCTTCCAGTCCCGCCCGTGCGTGATTGTGGGGGCGCTGGAGGACTGGCCCGCCATGCGGCGCTGGCGCGATGACGCGTACCTCTTTGACTTGGATGGGCACTTTGCGCGTGGGCGGCAGGGCACGGCGGAGGCGGCCGCCCCGCCAAAGGACGATGCGGACGCCTTGGCGGATGCCAGCGGCCCCCGCCCGCGTGAGCGCGAGGCGACGGACGACGTGAGGCGAGTGACGGTCGCCCTGACGCCGAACGGGCGCGCCGATGCGGTGACGTACGTGACGCACCGAGGCGCCCCAAAGGCAGAGGCGGACGCGAGTTCTGCGGAGGACGCCGTGGTGACGGAAAAGCTCTTTATGTGCGCCGCAGAGGTTCGCGCGACGTTGCCGGAGTTGTACCAGCTTCTCTGCGCGAACCCGGCGCACCCGCCGGTGCGGCCCGTCTTTGTTGACCTGCGCCGCCCCGCGCCCGTGGTTGCCTACGCGCAGATGCAAAACAACTGCCTCGAGGTGGAGTATCAGCACCTCCACGGCGACATCAGCACCGCGCTCGACCGCTTCGGGGAGCGCGTGTTTGGCGGCCCGCACGAGGCGGCAAACGTGTGGTTCGGCACCCCCGCCTCCGTCTCCTCCATGCACCAGGACTGGGTGGAGAACCTCTACGCGGTGGTGCGTGGGGTGAAGGAGTTCATTCTCATCCCACCGTGGGAGGGCGCGTTTGTGCCGAAGCCGGAGCTGCCCTCCGCGGCATTTGCCGTGCGGCGCGAGGACGGCGAGGGCGGCGAGGGCGGCGAGGGCGGCTACGCCTTTGCGGGGGCGCCTGTGCGGGATGGCCTGACGGTGCCGTGGATGGACGTGGAGTTCACGCCGGCCGCCGTGGAGGATGCCGCGCTCCTGCCAGCCAACCTGCGCGAGCGGCTGCACCCGCTCGTGGCGTACGTGCAGCCGGGGGAGGTGCTGTACCTCCCCGCCATGTGGCTGCACCGCGTGGCGCAGCACGCCGACGAGGACGACCGGCGTGCGAGGGAAAATCCCCCGGCCGACGCGCAGAGGCCCCCGTTGCCGTTGATCGCCGCGGTGAACTACTGGTACGAGATGAACTTTACAAACCCCGCTGTTGTCATGCTGCGTGAGTTTGGCCTCCTGCTCTGAGCGGGGCGTAGGAGAGGCGTGCGAGCACGCCGCATGGCGGAGACGTTTAAAAGCAAAAGTAAACAAAACGAAAAGGCGAAAAAGAAAAAAGGTGGGGTCCCCCTTTGTAACGTAATTTAGCGAAGAGGTGGGTGGAGTGAGCCGGCGGAGATCGGCGTGCGGAACGCCATGCAGAAATCACGGCGATGCCCCCGTCCCTCTCTTTGTGTCCATGTGTAGGTGTGTGAGGACCCTTCACCTTCACCTTCTCTCTCTCTCTATTTCTATCTGCCTTTATGTCTTTCTCTCTCCCTCTGTCTCTTTGGCGGGTGAAGGAAGCGTCGCGAGAAGCAGCGGGAGGGAGGAGGCAACGACGTCGCCGTCCGCCGGGAAGCAAAGGCAGAGTGGTGGCAGGTAAACGTGAGCGGCGGGGAGGGGGGGAGTAGAGGAAACGAAAGGAGGCAGAAGGAAAAAAATAAAAAATAAAACGTTTCCCCGTCGTTGGGGAGCGGCAGGGCAGGGCGCTTCGCTACAGGCTCGCAGCGGCGAAGAGAAGGTCGGCAGTTGGGGGGGGGGGGGCAACAGGCACACACAAACACACACGCGGAGCTGCGGCGGCGCGGCCAGTCCATGACTGAGCGTTCTCTCATGATCCGCCACGCGCTGGCGGGGCGCTACTTCGCCGTCGGCATGGACTTTCCCAGCGCGAGGGTGTTTGACGTGGCGACGGGGGCGCTCGCGGCGGTGGTGGAGGTGCCGCCACGGAGTCGCGCGTCGCTTGCGGTGGTGTCGCTGACGGCGCTGGCGCTGGGCACCGTTGCGGCGCCCCAGACCGCCGAGGAGGAAGAAGAAGAAAAGGCGAAAAGTTTGGTGGGCGTCTCCGGCGCCTGCCACGCGGCGGTGGGGCTGAGCAACGGCACGGTGCTGCTGCACAACGTGACGAAGGACGAACTCGTGCAACACCTCGCCGTGTCTGACACGCAGCAGGCGATCACGGCGGCTGTGTTCTGTGGCCACTACTTATTCTGCGTCGCGGCGAACCGCGCGCTCTGCGTCGTCGACTGCCTGCGTGGCGAGACGGTGGCCGCCCACCTGCGTTTGCAGCACGACGTGGGCGCCATCGCGGTCGTGGCGTCTGCAGGGCAGGACACGCCACACGGCGTGCCCGCGACCGGGTCTGCGTTCCTCGTCTTTGTATCGGGGCCCACCAACGCCGTGTACACGCTTTTCCTCGGCGCCGGCGCCGCCCAACGCGCGGGGGCGACGATGGAGCGGCTGGTGACTTTTGCGTCGCAGGCCTCCCGCGCCGACTTTGCGTGGATGGGGGGCAGCCGGCAGCAGCCCGTGGTGGTTACCGCCAGCGCCCAGGAGGGCGTGGTGCGGGTGTGGGATGCACGCCCCACCGTCGGCAGCCAAACGGCGGCGTCGCGCTGCCGCCGCAGTCTCCTCTGTGGCCAGCGCATTCTGGAGGTCTCCGTGCACGACCCTGCGACCCCGCACGACGGCGCGGACAGCCGCCGTAACGGCGTTAACACGGCTGGAGAGGCCTTCGTTGTCGCCACCACCTTCACCGGCGCGGTGCTTGTGTGGAACCTTGGCAGCGCGCTGCTGTCGTCTGTGGCGGATCCGGTTCCGACGCCGCCGACGCTCCGCATTGTCTCAAAGGAGGCCTCTGCACGACTGCTTTTTGGCGCCTTCATGCAGAGTGAGGCGGGGGCGCCTCCACCGCTGCTGGTGCTGCGAGGCCGCTTCGCGGTGCCCCATTTTGAGGCGCTGGACCTGCACGAGGCGGCGCGGAAGGCGTCCACCGCGTCGTCCGCGGCCGCAGCCGCCTCCGTGTTTGTGGAGGACGGCGCCGTCTACGTGATGCCGACGGGGGCGGAGGCGGAGAAGGGCGGCGGGATTGACGCCGTGCACGCCGACATGGAGGTGCTGGACCACGCCTGGGCCACGCACTGCCGCCAGCAGCAACAGCTGCTCCGCCTCGCCGCCCGTGCCACCTACACGCCCTCGGAGGGCTTTGTCGCGCCGGTGCCAGTTCACGCGAAGAGCGTGAAGGACCTCCCGCAGAAGAGCCTGACGCTGGAGCAGCGCCTGAAGCAGCTGTCACTTGCATCAAAGGCACCCTCGCAACAGCAGCAGCAGCAGCAGCAGCAGCAGCAAGAACAACATGCTCTGGGGCTTGCGACGGTTCCGCTCTACCAGGCGCTTCATGCCGGTGACGCGTCGGCCGTGATGGAGCTCCTTACCGTCGCCTCACGATCTGCGGCGGACATCCGCGCAACGGTGATGGGGCTTCAGCTGCCGTACTGTCTGCAGCTGCTGCAGATTCTCACGCAACGCGTGCGCGGGGCCAACTCTCGCTCCCCCCTGTTTGACTGGATAGACGCCATTGTCCACTACCGCGGCGTCGAGATGTACCAGGCGCAGCAGCTATTCAAAGAACAACGGCGGCAGGAGCAGGAGCAGGCAGGGAGGCAAAATGCGTCTTCGGAAAGTAGTAACCAAGGCGTCGAGGGGCCGCCGCCGCCAGCGACAGTCTCCGCGTCTGCGGCGTCCACGGCAAAGCCCTCACCACCAAAGGACTTTGTTGCGCCTCTGCTGCACCAGTATAGGAAACTGACGGCCCTCTATGACCCGCTGGCGGCGATGTACGGTCGGCTCTCCATCTTCAAGTCCGTCCGTCCATCGGAGCGAGGCGCGTTCGCGAACTCCGACGCCGGCATCATCTTCCCTGCGATGTTCACGGAGATTCGCTGCGCCGGCGGCGAGTACCGCGCGCTGCGGGTGCGGAGCAAACACGACCCCCACTCCAGGAAGAACAAAAAGCGCGGGGCCATGGCGCTGCTGCGCAAAGCGCAACGCCTGGCCGCCGCCGAGGCGGGGGCGGAGGCGGCAAACAAAAAACACGCCGGCGGTGGGAGCGACGACGACGAGGAGCTCGACATGCACGCGCTGGAGCGGATGGACCTGGACGAGGAAGACGCCAGCGGGGCGGAGGCGGCGGAGGCGGCGCCAGCGGAGATGATCGCGGAGGCGGACCGCGGCTCCTCCTACGGCGTCGACGCCTCCACGCACAGCAGCGAGGCGGAGTTTGACGCGGCGAGCGACGACGACGTCAACTCCGCGGCGAGCAGCGAGGAGGAGGACGAAGACGACAGCAGCGGCAGCGGTAGCGGTAGCAGCGTCGTTTCCGACACGTTGGACGCCGAGGCCGGTGCCGAGACCGACGACGACGACGACGAAGACGAGTACGACGAGGCGGAGGAGGCCGCGGGCGGCATGGGCGACGACATGGCGGAGCTGCTGCGGGCGCAGGGCGAGGAGGACCAGCTCGAGGGGCGGCGACACAAGCGGGTAAGGACGGACCACTGAAGTCTCACGCCGCGGCGACGAGGCGCGTGCACGCACCGCATGCTTGTTTATTAAGGGGAAGAAGGAGGAGGGGCAGAAGGAAAAAAAAACAAAGCGCTTTTTAAACGAAACACATCGCACGCGCAAGTAAAAAAAAACGCAAAAAAAAAAGGAAGGAGGAGGAGGAGGAGGGGGTGAATACACACCGTACACGCACGCATGTAGTGGCCCGCAATTGTGGGAAGGGCGGAGGCGCGAGCGTGGGAGAAGTCGCCTCTCTGCGAGGAGCCTGCGGGCGGCGTCTCCTGCAATGCGGTCGTGCATGCAACAACAACAAAAACAACAACGGAGGAGTGTGCCACGTAAGCGGTTAACTGTGCGAGCCAATAAAGAGGCCAAGCGTAAAGAAGTGCCACAAACAAAACGGGGTTGCTGTTCCTTTTCTCCTCGCTGCCAGCCACAGTGCGTTTGATCCGCATCTGCGCAGCAGGGATTGGCCTTCGCGTCTGTTTCTTTCTTTCTTTTCTTTTCTTTTTTCACCGGTTCTCTTTCCCTTCTAAACGAGAAAAATTAATTGGGTGGTTTGCCGCCATTGCGTTACGTCGCCGCTGTGCACCTCAACCTGAGCCCATCCTCACACACACACGAATCGCAGGCAAAGGGAATAATAGTAAACGAAAATAAAGAATCATATTTGTATTTAAAAAAAAGAAAAGAAAAAAAGTAGGGGCCTGCGTTGTCCTGCAGCAAAACAAGGAAAGAGAAAAAAAGCTAAGAAATACACGCGAAGGAGCATTAGGCAACGAAAGCAAAAGGGCGCGCCCAGCAGCAAAAGCAGCCGCTCATCCGTGGCCCACGCATATATATTATATTATATTGAGGCCCTCTTGCTGCCCCGGGTTTTGCATTTCTTGGCACGCGTGATTGCTGCTGCGGCTCCGTTGTTGTCACAGCAGCAGACGTATCGCATCGCAGGTGGCTGTGCCTAGCATTGCGTGCGTGCGAGCAGGGCGGCAGAGGTTTTCTTCCGTTTTTTTTTTGCTTGGTTGGTTGTGCATCTGACTCGGGCCGCGGCAAATGGTTCGCTCCGTGTTTTGGCGGCGGCGCAGCGGCATGCAGGGAGTTGTGGAGAGCCACTTCTGGAGCCTCACGCGGTACCGCATAGGCCGGCGCTTTCTGGGCCTCGACTACGCCGACAATGTCATCTTCTTCCCCGCGTACCGAAAGAAGACTTGGGGCGGGTGGGCCGCCGTCACCCTCGGCGCGACGAACGCGAGTTACATGACAAACGACACCTCCGCCGTGAACGTGCTGGAGGACGGCTACCCGCTGCACCTGCGGGCGAGCACGAAGTTGCAGGCCTTCATCTCGCAGGAGCGGAATGTCTGGCAGCGGCGGAGGGAGGAGGCGATTGCGCGGCGCGCGGCGGCGCTTGCCACGGGGGCCGCCGCCGCCTCTAGCGCGCGGAACGCCCCTGGCACGAATGACCGCGCCGCGGCGAACGCCGGGGAGGACGCAGAGAAGGTGGCCGCGGCGCAGGACTACGACGAGCAACACTTCCGTGACGCGATTATCATCAAGTGCAGCTCACCGGGCTTCGCCCAGCGCCACCTGCGGCTGAGCCGCTTGACCACCATCTTGTACAAGGCGGTGTACTTTTACATTTGGGGGGTTGCCATCTCCATCATTGTGCAGGCGTACCTGCTGTTCCGGGGCTGGCTGAACCCCCCGGCGCGCGAGGGGCTGAAGAACCTCGAGAGCCACGTGCTGCACATCCCGAAGCTTCTCTTCGGCCTCTGCGTCTCTGGGTTTGCGTGGCTGGCGCAGCAGGTGCAGCCGCTGGTGGATCCGCTTTTCAAGGTGCTTGAGGAAAAATTTCCGCAGGTCAACTGGAGCGCTGCCTCACCAAAGGCGATTGCAACGAAGGCGCACCAGCTGGCAGGGAACGACGACGCGGCGCAGCAGTTGGCAGCCCAGGAGGGGGCGAGGGTCGCGGCAAGGAAGGCGGCGCAAGGAGAGGCAGAGGTGGAGCGTCGGGCGTGGTGGAGGCGGGCGTTTATTGTCCTCTTCTGCCTCTTCTCCATTCTTTGCGTGATCTAAAGGAGAAGCGCGGGCCGACACACGGAGGAAGTGAAGAAGAAAAAACGAGAGAGAGAGAGAGAGAGCAGTTGAGGCTCTCAAGCGGTACAATGGCGGTGTGCGTCGAACTATGGAGCGGCTCGGAGAGAGCAGGGGTGAAGGCGGAAGACGAATATAAAGTGCGCTGCAAAAGAGAGAGAGAAGGTGTAGATTGCTATTGCTGAATGTATGTATGTACGTGTACGTGTGTGTGTATGTGTGTGTTTGCCAGGGGCGCGAAGGAAGTGTAGAACGAACGAATCCTCTTCTCCCACCACCGCCGCCTCAGCTCCTCTTCCGCACGCGTATACGTGTCCTGTTGCACCTCAGCTGCCGCCGCCACCACCGCCACGACTCGTCGTTTTTTTTTATGTTCTTTTTTTTTTCCTTTTCTTTTTGTGTGTTAATTCTTCGTGGCGGTGCTTGCCACGTTGCTGCTTTGCTTTGTCTCTTTGGTTTTTGTTTTGTGTTTGTGCTGTTGTTGTTGTGGTTGTTTCCCACCCGCTCCCCCGCTTCCTCGGCGTTTGTGTGCGTGAGTCGTGTGCGGTTGCCGCCGCCATCTGCTGCGCGGCGCAGCCGGTGGCGGGCGACGCACACGCACACAAACAAGACAAGACAAAACAAAACAAAAAGAAAACGAAGAAAAGAAAAGAAAAAGCAGAGGCGGGAGAA